TGTGCAAAATACGATCCCTTCATTCAGTGGCACATACACAGCAAATGTCTGATTCAGTAGCCAGGAATGAATACAAGATCAGTTTCAGGATCACCTGTGGTCACAGGCACAGGCCCTCGTGTCTTTGCGAGGATTAAAGATGTTAAAAAAATAAAACATTTGAAATGACCCCCGACTCGAAATGCTTCACAGTACAATGCATTATGACAAGGCCGGATACTTCGGTGTACCTGCCTGCTTTGCCAATCGCTACGCTACCATCGCATGCAATGGATTAAAACTTAATGTGAACATAATCATGGATGATTGGCCTATTGAGCTCCACTCATGACACCTACCAATTCTTTATTGTTATTTCTGCAAGTCGATTGAAACCCGATTTTCACTCTCAACTAAACGATCTTGACACAAATGGATGACGATGTGTCCGCACAAAACGGGGGTGTGGTCAAAGCAAGCCATCACGGTAAATAGCAAACATAAATGCCAGAGAATAACCAGTCTCAATTATCCAAGGAACAGATTGTACTAAGAAAATCAGTGATGACACACGATGTTTGTGGACAATATGAGCATATCTTGACCTACTGGTAGGATGCACCTCTCTTGCAAAGTGCATAACAGCATGAGTCAGTCAGAAACTCCTCTTATGAAAACAAGTTTTAGAAATTTGATTAAAGAAATGTGTATCAAGAAAACAGTGAGAAACACTTGATCTTCAATATGTTTATTTCATTCATTCTCATGTATTTGGAAATATTCTTAAAATCATTCTAAAATTATATTTTTAAAGAGCAAAAAATTTCAATCTAAATCTATATTACTTTGGAGCTCTTAAAACTACTGGCACCTTAGTCAGGTTGAGTGGCCATATTACTTGGAGTTTGTCAGTCTTACAACCTGTCCTTCACTGCAGCAGCTCAGTGTTCTGTGACTGTTGATCAAACCAGGAGCAACACAGAGTTAGCTCCCCTGCCATGTTGGCTACCCTGTGACAGCAAGCTGACTGTGCTAACGGCTAAATTAACTACATTCAGCAATGAGGACCTAATCTGTCAAAATTGTAGTGTGACAGGGTGTTTAAGGTTTATCTTTCCCTACATACTTAAGGTAATGGGGAGATTCCTTTAAGACACATGGGCTAGTGTTTGGGGATAAAGCTATAAATACTTGTCATCTGGGGTTAGCTTAAGCAGAGACCTGTCTCATAATAGATGGTCTCTGCAGGCCCTAAATAAGGCACCTCGGTTCAGGACAAGGGTCTCCCCTAGCATTGGTCCAGAGGAAAGATCTACTGATAAGAGAGAGGGACTAAGCCTTAGTCTAGGGTCGCCCCAGCATGAGAGTTTAAGACAAAGACAGAGTGGGTGTGAGAGCAGAGAGAGAGAGAGAGAAGCTAAACTGAGTGGCTGCTCCATGTGCTTCATCACACAGAAAGTTATGGAATACAGAATGAACTGGATACTCTCTTGTGTGATATGTTGGTAGACGAACCCCCAATTGGTCACAGTGAGAAAGACTTCCGTCTGTATCCCACTTCTAGTCAAATCATAGTCAAATCAAAGTACCTGAATATATCTATATCTTTTTCCTGATACATTCAGCTGAAATAGTGTATGTATACTACTCAAACAAGTTAAGGAACATCAGATTTGTTCATACATATGACTACAGCTGGTGGGTAACACAGTATTCTCACAATGGTCTTGGTTTGAGTAGTATACAGTGATCACATGTTATTTGATCAGCCATTTAAATTAGAATGAGTAAAGGGGTTATAATTATATGTAGTTCTAATTTGGGAGATAAGATCATCACAGCAAGTGGATTGTCCCAGTACACTTCATGATGCAACAACTCTATATCACACTCAGCCCGTTCATATATTCACAGGGACACTCCAGACACGATCCGCAGCAGATGTGAGCAGTGAGTGAACTATACCAGGGTTAGACAGCATCACTAGTCCACCTGCCTGCTAGTAAATTCTGGAAGTGATAATCTTTTTCTCTTACAATCTAGCTGTGCACGAACTATAAGTGAGCTGTGGACTAGTTTTAAGCCTTGTGTCTGCCCCTGGTTACTGTAGCATGTGCCAGAAGGTTTTGAGGACACATGCCCAAAGAGGTCATCTTCTTTATCACAAGCTGTGCCCAACAGACTCAAAGAAATATAACTAAACTTGATCTGTGTACTACTGGCAAAATTTGCAGACAAATAGTGAGCCATGTTGTCATAGTAGCCTGCAGATTCAACAAGAAACGGTGGTTGATGGTGTGACCCAAACATGATGATTGGGAAACATATGTGAAACAGCCATTTCATATTCATGTCACCCTGGGATGTTTTAATACAATATTTGTTCCAGAAATTACTGACAGAACTAATAGTAATAACTTAAAGTAATTGTTCATCTTTTTTTCCTGAGAAGAGCTTGTAGGTCTTGTAGCCGTGATGAATCAGGTGGTGGCAGATCCTCTGAGAAGTTCCCCAGTATGACCAGTACTGAAATCTGGAGCCCTTTCTGGACCCGACTTCAGCAGATGAATGTCATCAAGCTCTTTGTTCAGGACAGAGCTTCAGCCAGTATTCTAACCAGATATGACCAGATTTTCTTCAGGACGGAACTTCAGCTTGTGTTCTAACTAGATATGACCACACTCTCTTCATGGCTTCCTTATTGAAGCATTTTCTCCCTGAGGCCGCCTTCTTCCTCTGCCTCCTTCTCTTCTTCATCATCCCTCAGAGTTAAAGCAACTTCAGCAACCTCAACATCAGCCCCGTTGCCTTTTGGTGTCTGATTCAGCAACCGTGGCCCACTAATGGACACAATGGCTGCCCCAAGGGGTGCCGTCACCAAAATGGATAACACAGCCAGTTGTAAAACCTGAATGTGTAACACATCAACCCCACAGCAGGATATCAATTTGAATTCAAATTTCAACACAGGATTCAAAACATGCAGTAAATATGAAGGTAAAAGAATGAATGGAACAATTACAGAGGTTTAGTCAACATATCAGCAGGATGCATTTGAAAAATAGTATCCATAAAACATGAGCATATTACCAAGAAATCAATTTTAAGAAATCACACAACATAATGAGTGTAAATGACACAAAATGAAGACAAGGTAGATGCAAAAGCAGAAGTGATTTCAAAAGCAGCGAATGCATAAAAAAAAGTTGTGAATTCATAAAAAACATGATGAATACATATGTTGTAACAATATGCAAACAGAATAAACAAGCCATATACAGACGAGGTTTTCCAGGAATATCCAAGTGTGCCACAGTTGGAGATAAGATCATTGAAGGTCACAGATGGGTTGAAGGTCAAGTTGTTGTCCGGATCATCAGAAATGCAGAGTGGAAAGAAAAGGTGTTAATAAACATGATTTCAGAATGTTGTATACTCGTTACAATCACTAACAATCAATTATGAGTCAAAGTTTCATTATTGGTTATCCTCAGGGAAAACAGTTCAAATGATGCACCATAAAAATGGTGCCTAGATAATGCTGTTAGACATTACTGATACCTTTGATCATGCCTCAAATATATAACAGATAGAAATGGGTATGTTATAGTTCTCATATGAAAACACAAAGAAACCACAAATAGCAACGTATGCATTGATCTGTACAATAAAAGGTGATAATTCAATTTATAGTTCTGCCATTGGTCCTTTTGTGCACATATTTACATATTAGCATACTGACTGACTGAGTTTTGGTTTTATGCCGCTTTTAGCAATATTCCAGCAACATCACGGCGGGGGACACCAGAAATGGGCTTCACACATTGTGCCCATGTGGGGATTCGAATCCGGGTCTTCGGCGTGACGAGCCAACGCTTTAACCATTAGGCTACCCCACCGCCCCACATATTAGCATACACTATTCCATCAGTATGGACATATTATTTTTTGTTATTGTTAGGTGTGTTAATGTTGCTTTACAAAGAAAACCATAAAATTAAACATACCCAACTGAACATTCTGAGCGTGCAATGACCCACAGTGAGTGTTGCATGCTGAACAATGTTATGACAGTATCACAAGCTGAGACAAGCACCGATACACTTAGAAGATTGATCAAAAGAAGGGTGCTTATTACAACACAACAAAAAATTCATATCAAACTGTAGAGAGCACAGTAGCCAACTTAAAAACCCTGGAAGATGTAAATCTACCTGGGGTAGCATGTCGGAAGCAACAGTACTGCAAGTCCTGCAATGGTGCTCTAACTTCAGATGCTGATGGTCTAGGACTTTTTGTCATTTCTTAAAAGTCAAATCAATGATATCCTCGTCTCATTGTCAAACACTGACAGGTTTTATATGCTATAAATGTCCAACTTATTCTATACATGACATATGGCTGAAATACTGCCTGAAAACTGGAAAAGATAGATTTGGACAATAAGTAATCGCAACTATGATCAGTTTATAGTCAAGATGACAATGGGTACATTTTTTTAAAGGAATGTTAGAAAATAATCAAAACTTAAGCTGAAAGTAAAGTACAAAACCAAAAAATCAGTGGAAGCAAAGTATCGGCTGTGCTGAAAGTGACACAAAACAGTTAATGGCGCACATGAAGTGTTAAAGCCAAAACTGAAATAAGCAAGAATGCAATCAGTGGTAAATGTATATCTCTGCATGTACACACTTGTTACAACATAAAGCATGCTAAAAACCAAACAAGGGAGTACTATTCTTAAGCTGAACGTTTTGGTTTGTCCTTCCTAATGAGTGTATCAGCAAGCACAATATACGGTGAACAGTTAGTGTTAAGCCTTGGCCCTGACATTAGTTATTCAACTTTCCAACCATTCTTGTGCTAAGTTAAGAAATAAAACACAAAATGCATGAAATGGTCAAACAATAAGCAACAACATCAACCCCACCTATGACCAATCATTAGTCCCACTTCCCTTCCCAATCCCAGCATGCAATGTTTATGGACCCTCATACAAAAGGGAGACAATTCTTACTGACCTGTTTGCCTAAATTCTCCAGCTCTGGTTTTCCTTCAGAAACAGCCATTTCATAGGCTTTGGCACCAATAGCAGCCTGCAGAAAAACAATACTTATTTCAAAACAACATATTCATACAGTTCTTTGAAAGTAGTATCGTTTAGATTACAAACACTAGAATGTAAATGTGAATGCTAACAATACATTACAGTCCTTTCTTGTACATGTCTTTGGGATCCATGTCAGATCTGTTTCCAAAATAATGGAGCTGAGATCTAAAATTGTTATGGAATAAAACAAAGTGAAGCAGAAATCAAATTGTGGAGATTAATTTAGCCAAAAGCGTCTCCAAACAGCTAAATCACAACTCACAAACACAATTTGCATTCCCAGGTCATTCACTAGTGTGGACACCTATTCCCCTCATTCTCAGACCAATGTGGGGAAAATAGCCATTTAAATCAAGGTCCATTTGTTACCAAATACAAAGCTCTGACAAATCACCAGAGAATGATCACTGACGTATCGTCTGCTGCAATCAGTCACCCACCCACCTGGACTGTAGCTTTGGGAAGCCATGCAAATGGAATGAACATCCTCTCCTTTTTGTTGAGAGGGGTGAAGAACACTGCCAGGAAGGACACCACCATCCGTACTGCCAACCCGATTCCAAGAGTGGCTAGGCCAAGACCTAAGGAATACAACACATCTGGATAAATAACTCAGAAGCACTACAGCAGGAGATCCTCTTATCAAATAATTAAACAAAGCTAATAATTGTGGTCTTGTTGATATTCTCCACACAAATCTACTGATGTTGTTCATGTTTATGTTCTCTACACAGCAGAACCTACCAATGGTGTTCTTGTCAATAGTCGCGATCTCCACCTCAGCTCCAATCAGACCAAACAGTAATGGTTGAAAGATCATCCATAAGACTCCCACCACACCCTCAATCGGATTCTGGAAACATTCAATTTCACGACATCACAATCCCAAAACGTCTGCTGCAATGTCAATAAACATGCAAACACATAAGAACCTCTCTCCATAAGAAGCAAGAGATAAACGTTCTTTCTAACAAGCAAACCTTACAAACACATGGCAAGTGATGAACATATGGACACACAATACTAGGGTTTCAGAGCCTGAAGAGAGAATATCAGTCTCAATAGAAAGGAAGTGGACAAATGTTCTAAATGAATTAGTTACTGACTCACCTGTTCACCCTCCTTGAACTCTTTCCTCCATTTCAGTGCAGCCACAAATCCGAGAGTGAGGCACCCCAGGGGCCCAGACCCCGCCCACTTGAGGTAAGTGGAGAGGAAGATGGCCATCAGACCGAACCCAACCAACATCACGGACCGAAACAACACCAGGTTTTTCTGCAACAACATTGAAGTCTGTAATCCTCAACTCACACTGTTCTCTGTATATATTGACTCTTTATGGTCCCGGATTTAACGTACTCATTGGTCATCAACGGTTATTGTTTTTACCCAGATTTCCCTCCCTCCAGCTTCTGGACTGAAATTATGGGATGGAAGATTGTATTATATAATTGATGCTCTCATCTAGATTAACTTATCACAAGTCTCAGGTAAGCTGTTCTCACACATCTCAGCACCAAATCACTAGGGGACCATTCATAAATTATGGCTAGGGTGGGTGATGATGATGAATATGGAGAAGCATGTAAAATGTGGACCCGCCTGCATGTCAAGTACGAAATCAATGTCTTCCTCCCCCCTCCCCAGAACAAATTAGGTAACCCCCCTTAAAATCATCATCAGCCCCCTTCACCATAAATCAAATTATGAACGGTCCCAAGGTAAAATAATGTGGACTGAATATAGATGCACAGGCAGAGATAATATTGTGGAATCTGTTGACATAACCATAAAACAGCTCAAACAGGGACATTTGATAAAGAACTGCCTTCCTTTCTCACATTGATACTTCTACTGGTCATGTGATCTCCTAGTTCTGTGAAGGAATGGGAGGAGGTGCCAAATAACACACATTCAAATGAGACAAACAGATGAAAATGTGATGACTGCATATTTTTTTATGGTTATGTTTTCCACCATCTTTTGTATGTAATGTTATCTGTAGACTATGCATAGCCATGACCACTGTCACAGTTCCTAAATGCCATTGCTAGGATTAGGTTTGTGCATTTACTTTAAAACCGGGTGTCAGCCTTTCTGAAGGAATATCATTTACGTATAGTTGAACACATTCACACATCATAACTACTGTCTGTTCATTTTGCATGAGTGACCAGGTACATAACTCTTCTGTCTAACCAGGCCTGATGTCTAAATTGGACAGAGACTCCAGTCTCAATCAGTGTGGACAGATTCAACTCTTCAACTCTTCAACAATCTTTCATGTTTTTTAAATGAGATCACTTGCAGTTACACGTATTCTACTGGTGTTAATGGATTGTAACTTATTACGATTTGAAATGATGCATGAACAGTCCTTTACCCAGTCTTAACTTGAAACCTGAAGATTCAACATTACAACAACACATCTCTATAAAACAAAGACACCTTTGTATTTCAGGTACAGTGCATAGTTTAAATATTACCATATTTACATGAACCAGTAATGAGGAGGAGGTGTACACCAGGGTCAACTTACACTGCTGCGTTGTGGGAAGTACCAGAGTATGACCCCAGCCACAACACCCAGGGCGACGCCCACCACGGCTTCCAAGGGGCCCTTCAGCAGGGTCCACACCAAGTTGCCTAGAGGTAAACAGAACAGTGCATGGCCAGTGAAAATTCAGGAGCAGTTAGATAGTAAACTAGATCCTGCATACAGCAATAAGGTAACAAATGAATGGACAAGTTTTCTGTTAATAACACATAAACAATTATAATGTGTGGATAAGAAATCAGATCTGGAAAGGACAAACCAGTGCTTCATAATGTCCTGATCCCTGGCAATGAGGGGACATAACTTGCCACATCGAACTGTAACCATCAACTGCCACTTGTCAATGGTTTCACACATTGAGGATCCCTGGCAATGATGGGACATAACTAGCCACATCGGACTGTAACCATCAACTGTCACTTGTCAATGGTTTCACACAGAGAGGATCCCTGGCAATGATGGGACATAACTTGCCACATCACACTGTAACCATCAACTGTCACTTGTCAATGGTTTAACACAGTGAGGATCCCTGGCAATGATGGGGCATAACTAGCCACATCACACTGTAACCATCAACTGCCACTAGTCAATGGTTTCACACAGTGAGGATCCCTGGCAATGATGGGACATAACTAGCCACATCACACTGTAACCATCAACTGCCACTTGTCAATGGTTTCACACAGTGAGGATCCCTGGCAATGATGGGACATAACTAGCCACATCACACTGAAACCATCAACTGTCACCATCAACGGTCACTTGTCAATGGTTTCACACAGTGAGGATCCCTGGCAATGATGGGACATAACTAGCCACATCACACTGTAACCATCAACTGTCACTTGTCAATGGTTTAACACAGAGAGGATTCCTGGTTAAAACTGGTTCCAGTTACCTATGACAGTTTTAAGAGGTGCTCATAGCACAAATCACTGATTCATATTCATTTATTTACAGACAGGAATATTGCTTCATTATTCTCAAGTGCAGTGTTAAACATAAAACGCATTTTAAATGGTCCTTAAGACAAGCACAAGTTCATGAGGATCTATTCAACCCTGCAGTCCCAGAGATTCTGAGGTCCGAGGGTGACTGTTATTAAACTGTGTCATCAATATAAGTTATCAAGTCTGGATCCGATGAATCTGTATTTGGGAACACATATATGAAACTGTTGAAGAGTGTAGTCAGACAAGGTACGCACCTTGTGAGAAGGCAATACCCATCACAACACCGAAGCCAGTGATGGCAAGAACATCATCAATACTGGCCGCTCGCGATGACGAGGGTGGGGATGCCCTTGTCCACTCCATACCCCTGTTCCTGCAATGCCAGCAGACAAGGGACCACCACCGCTGGGGACACTGCAGCAATCACAAACCTGAAACACACATTATGTAATTTTTTTAGTAAAATTGATATTTTATACTTATCCTGACTCATGCTTATTTGCTTTCTCTTCCTTCTATTCCTTCTATGCGAATGGTAGTGGAACACTTGAATCCCTTGTAGTTCCCTGAAGAGGACGTAAAAGTTCTCTCACCCACGAGTTGCCTCCCTTTTCCCGTCATGTGACCTGCCATTCTTGTCACTCTCTCCTGAAGCCCATGCACCTTGGTGGCTGGAAAACCCGAAGTGTCTTCTGCGGGGAGGCTGGGAGGGCTTGACATCATGAGTCAGGATAAGTATAAAATATCAATTTTACTCAAAAAATTACATATTTTTCCTTATCCTGACTCATGCTTATTTGCTTCCAGTATCCGACGGATTGGTGGTGGGTCAAGCCACTTCGTGGATTCATCAGCTGTCCTTAGATACGTTCTGTATTCCCCAAATGGGAACTGTGTAACAGCACTTCCTGGATCCTGTTCTTCTAACTTCCGCTGTCAGCTAAGGGGGACCACATCTTGTCATACTTCTCTAAAACAAGTGAATCTTTTTAGATTCATGTGGATTTCAGATATACTAGTATCTTCTTACTAGTTATCTATAAACAACCCATAGATTATGATAAGATCGTTACCATAAATGAGTTGCGACCCCTTATCGTATAGGTAAGTCTTAATCAGTCCTGCTAATCTGGTGTAGACGGAGCGCATGGACTCTCAACCAAAACTCTCCAGAGTGAAGGTTATCAACAAGTCAACGTGATAAAGGGTGAGATTCCCAACTCAGCGCCTTTGTGGAACCGTTAGTTGTAGTGCTACAACAAGTAGCCCAAACTGGTGAATGCCAGAGACGTCCTCGGCGGTGATGTCTCTAAGGTAGAGGTTGGCAAACTCCGTGTCCGACTCCCAAAAGCAGCCCTCCATTATAGCTGATATCTAGCAGCTTCCGTGCAGAGCGAGTGTGGACGCTAGTGCTCTGACTTCGTATGGGTTGGAAGCTCTTGGAGGTTCTAGTCCTGCTGCTTTGTCAGCTCACATTCAAAATAATATTGTTGTCTTCGAGACTTCTACAGTCTTGTCTGCTGACAAAAGGGGATGAATAGGCGCTTGGTTACCCATGTCGAATCTAGTTCGTCCAAAGTCCAGCGCATATATCTCTGACATCCGAGCTGCCGAGGCTAAGGCGAGGATCCCAAACTGGTGCTCTGAATTTCTTCTGCTGGTCTTCTAGCTTGAAGGAGCATAGTAGAGCAAGTAGTTCTGGCACTTTCGTCAGCTTGATGCTTATCTTCATCATGACGACTGTACTGATAGCTGCCAGGTATGTAGATAATGTCGAATCTTTCAATCGTCTCATATATCTAAAGTGACATAGATATTCCGATATTTGAGAATGATTCACTTTCATTGCTGTGAAGCCTTTCCGCGCACTGCTAACTGTTCAACTCTCTGCCACTTGTCGTCGTACAAGTTGATCTGCGTAGTACTAGGGTTACTCCTTTCACTGCTCTGGCGGAGTATCCTCTTTTCTTCGAGCAAATCTAGACACGATCCTTACGTGTAGCTGGAACGTTAACAGGTTCCCCATGAGCTTGCTTGGTGTGCAGATGTACGAACAGGTTCGTCCACTCTGGTAGTTTCATGGTTGGACTTCCGAGTTCTTCTATAAGAATCTGGGAACCAGACTCTCTCTCTGGCCAGTAGAGTGCGACCAAAGTCAATTGTAGCACTTGGGTCTGCTTGATCTTCAATAGTACTTGAAGTAGTAGAACCGGTGGTGGGAACGCGAACATGCGGTTAGTCCTTCCCAGGATATGCTCAGTGCATCTGTTGCCCAGGCTTGAGGATCTGGTACTGGTGAGACGAATGTCTGTAGTTGTTTGTTGAACCTTGTGGCGAACAGGTCTATGAAGGGAGAACCTCTTTCCATTATGATGAGCCGGAACTTCTCTGAGTGGAGCATCCATTCCATGAGTGATGGATGAAGTGGGCGAGATGGAGCCTCTGCTAGCATGTTGATTGCAGCTTTCATCTCTAACTGGTTGATGTGACGATGTTGTTCTTGTTTCAACCACTTCCCTGATGCCACTTCATTGTCGAGATGCGCGCTCCCCATCTTTGTAGTAAAGTATCTATGTAGAGGTGCGTGTCGAAGACCGGCTCTTCTAAATAGGTCCCTCTGCAGATATTCGACTTGTGAGTCCACCAGAACAGATACGTCTTGAGACTGGTAGAAAAATCACGTCCGTGCTGTCCAGGTGTCTTGCCAGAAATCGTTGCATCGGACACAGTTGAAGTCTCCCTCTGCAAGTCAAGTCTTGGTCTGAAGTGAGTAGACCAAGGAGGTACTGCCATGTTCGTAGAGGTAACGGAGAGATGACTGTTTCTGGAATCATGGCTTGAATCTTGACTCATCGATTGACAACAAATCTTGCTAACTGCAACGCTTCCACCAGATACACAGCACAACGCCTGTTTGTTGTCGAGGCGCGCTCCAATCAGCTGATTACTCATGTAAAACAGTTATATGGTTGAGGTAATTCCAACCAGGTACATGCTTCTGCGGTTAAGAAGATGTTATTACCGGAATCTCGATGATATGCAGCAATGATGCATCATTCTTCGTCTTCAAATCGCCAACGATCTATGTTGAAAGCGAGCTGACATCGATGTGAAGTCTATTTATAGTAGACTGGTTCCCGCGAACAGAAACCATCTGTCACTTGTTACTGCGAGCCCCCAGATAAAGAACTTTTAATCTGCTGTCAGAAGAAGACCTCTATGCATCCCGTGAAGACGATGGAACCACGTTGTACACTGCTATCTAGACTGTAGATGAAGTCTTTCCACGTTGGAAGGGTTGACTTCCTGGTACGTGAACTGCGACCACCTTCTGCGCAGGGCGTTGTCTCTCATGGACCAATCAGATTCCAGCTATGTGACGTCACCGGTGTTGCAGCAAATTGATCATCATGAAATCTTGTGCAGTCGTTGGTTCCTTCGTCATCACTCGGTCTTGTCCGTAACCTCGCTTATTCGGCTTGTCCCAGAATAACACAAGTGAACACGGATGTAGTTGGTTGAGTAAAAGCGAGAGAAATTATTATCCACTTAGTGCTGATGTAAGTAGACTATCACTCTGGCAGTTGCGTCTATATTCTTCAACTTCTTATTATTGGGCAGCTGTCGTAACTGCATCGTCTCACCGATGAATACTGTGTGTGAACGTAATCGTTGGTCTTAAATTCTAGATGAACGTCTACTTCGCCGGGGGTATGATGTCTTTTTTAACCGACCTAAACTCTGGTTCGATGGGCGGGATCGTGAGAGAGCCGAAATCCTCATTCAACATCTTGTACGATTACTTCATTCGCTCTTTGGATGGAGGGGCAGTGGGGTAGCCTAGTGGTTAAAGCGCTGGCTATTCGTCCGCGCTCGAAATCCTTCGATTCACACACAATGTGTTAAGCCCATTTCTGGTGTCCCCCTGCGTGATATTGCTTGAATATTGCTAAAAGCGGCGAAAACTAAACTCAGTCAGTCTCTTTGGATGGAGACGCTAAAGTCCAGACCACTCGTGATCCAGGATGTAACTTCCGAATCCGAAAGGATGCCATCACTTTCTTCATCTGATTCTCGCTCTGACTGATTTCATGAGTGCATTCACGAAAGTGTGCATTCGCGAGTGCATTCGGTTACCGGCATTACCAGCAGTGACTTGAGATGACTTCCTCTCCTGGTCTATCGCTCGTCTATAGATATAAGATAAATAATGATTAAATTGCAAATCTGATAATTTAATACAGTATCTGCAACGCAAGCTGGAAGAACATGGATTAATGCATGACGGGCATTGGGGGAGAAAACTCAGCCGCTGATAGACGGTACCTGCAATCACTACAAGATTTCATCAAATGTAAACAAACTACACTATGATGAATAAATGTCACAAAATATGAATAATTTTTCCAAAATTTTGGCATACGATGAAAACTAAATATAACCAAAATCATACACAGCTTAATTTGAATACAGGATCTAAATATTTAAGGATATGGTGCCGTATACACGGGACTCTAGTGCTCACCCAACCATCCGCTTGGGCGATGAAGGAGAGAGTGACAAGGTGGTGGTGGAATTGGGTTTAATGTTGTGCTTGAGAATGTTTCGCTCATATGACGAAGAGAGTGTCAAGGATGGCAGGTCACGTGACTGTTGCGTGGGAAAAGGGAGGCAACTCGTGGGTGAGAGAACTTTTACGTCCTCTTCAGGGAACTACAAGGGATTCAAGTGTTCCACTACCATTTGCATAGAAGGAATAGAAGGAAGAGAAAGCAAATAAGCATGAGTCAGGATGAGGAAAAATAAACATACTTTATGTGACCACTGCTTTAATATGTGCTGAACTATATTCACATACTTGCTCACTCTCATTCACACTCTGAAACAAAAAGTATTGTTACCCATCAATTGTTACCCAAACTGGATACATACCATCTTGACAATACTTTACACCTAGAGTTACCTCCCTTAACAGTTTGATGTCTTCAAATACAAGAACACTTTGTTCACCTACGTGGAATACAACGCACTGCATTTATCATGTTGTAGCAGAAATGTATTTACCTGCACATGAAGTCCCATTGCCATGTATTTCACCTGCACATGAAGCCCAATCTCCCTCTATTTCACCTGCACATGAAGCCCAATCTCCCTCTATTTACCTGCACATGAAGCCCAATCTCCCTCTATTTACCTGCACATGAAGCCCAATCTCCCTCTATTTACCTGCACATGAAGCCCAATCTCCCTCTATTTACCGAACATGATGATTTACTCCGCCCAATCTCCCTCTATTTACCTGAACATGAAGCTCAATCTCCCCATTTACCTGAACATAAAGCCCAATCTCCTCTCCTGGAACCTGCACATGAAGCCCAATCTACCTCTATTTACCTGAGCATGAAGCCCAATCTCCCTCTATTTACCTGCACATGAAGCCCAATCTCCCTCTATTTACCTGCACATGAAGCCCAATCTCCCTCTATTTACCTGCACATGAAGCCCAATCTCCCTCTATTTACCTGCACATGAAGCCCAATCTCCCTCTATTTACCTGCACATGAAGCCCAATCTCCCTCTATTTACCTGCACATGAAGCCCAATCTCCCTCTATTTACCTGCACATGAAGCCCAATCTCCCTCTATTTACAGTCCGTTTGAGACAAAATGATACCGATGAATTGCAAACTAACACAAAACAAATAGACATAAAAGAATCAAACCAACACGGAATGCAATAAAAAACCAGACCAACTCTAGATTAAAAATTGCATAATTTTTGTCACAAAAGATGTTGTTTAAGAAACTGTCATCATTCCAAGTTTCTTACAAGGGCGCATTGGCAACTAAAGGAACAAAAAGCGAAAATGAGATGCGATGCATTAGTGGCGTCCAGAGACATGTGATTACTGCTGATTGACAAAGTGAGAGAAAATGAAAGTCTATAATTTACAAAGTCTATGATTTCTTCAAGGATGAAATGACTGTGCAGCTGGGTGCGTGTCATCTCACCAGCTCAAAAATTTGTTGAGAACCCGTTAACGACGCAAGTGCAACTCGCTTTTCGCTGTTCCTTTAGTTGCCAATGCACCCTTGTAACAAACTGGGAAAATGCACAGATAAATGATGACAGTTTCTTAAACAACTTTATTATTTTGTGACACAAAATTATGCAATTTTTTCTAAAGTTGGTCTGTTGTTTCTCATTGCACTCCGGTTGGTTTGATTCTTTTATGTCTATTTGTTTTGTGTTAGTTTGCAATTCATCAGTATCATTTTGTCTCAAACGGACTGTACCTGAACATGAAGCCCAATCTCCCTCTATTTACCTGCACATGAAGCCCAATCTCCCTCTATTTACCTGCACATGAAGCCCAATCTCCCTCTATTTACCTGCACATGAAGCCCAATCTCCCTCTATTTACCTGCACATGAAGCTCAATCTCCCCTATTTACCTGCACATGAAGCCCAATTTCCCTCTATTTACCTGCACACGGCCCAATCTACCTCTATTTACCTGCACAAAAAGCCCAATCTCCCTCTATTTACCTGCACACGAAGCCCAATCTCCCTCTATTTACCTGCACATGAAGCCCAATCTCCCTCTATTTACCTGCACATGAAGCCCAATCTCCCTCTATTTACCTGCACATGAAGCCCAATCTCCCTCTATTTACCTGCACATGAAGCCCAATCTCCCTCTATTTACCTGCACATGAAGCCCAATCTACCTCTATTTACCTGCACAAAAAGCCAAATCTCCCTCTATTTACCTGCACACGAAGCTCAATCTCACCCTATTCACCTGCACATGAAGCACATGAAATAAAGCTCCCGTGTATTTACTCAAGCAGATGCTACCAAGCTTTGGTCCAATGCATTTATCAAAGCTTGAAGCACCACTCATGTGTATTTACCCCCACATGAAACCACCCACCCATGTATATACCCAAGCATGAAGGCAGCTCTTGTGTATTTACTGTGTGCGTGAGCATGCATGTATTTAACCACACATGAAACATCGCTCCCACGATAATGAAATCCACTTCCCGTGTATTTACCCGAAAGCATAAAGCCCCATTCCCGTGTATTTACCCGAGCATGAAGCCCCATCCCTGTGTATTTACCTGAGCATGAAGCCCCATTCCTGTGTCTTTACCCAAGAATGAAGTCCCATTCCTGTATTTACCCGGGCATGAAGCCCCATCCCTGTGTATTTACCCGAGCATGAAGCCCCATTCCCAGTATTTTTACCAAGAATGAAGCCCCATTCCCGTATTTACCCGAGCATGAAGCCCAATTCCCGTGTATTTACCCGAGCATGAAGCCCCATTCCCAGGGAAATCCAAGCAGGAGATGTGCTGCAACTGCATCAGCAACCGTCTCCATCAGACACGGTGAGAAGGCCAGCCTGAAGACGACAAAAGAGAGCTTCCTGAGAGCAGACGGGTCAAGCCCGAGTCCGGCTCGCAGTAGGATGATGCCCAGAGCCATATTCCTGGAACATAAACGTCATAACATTAACATCACTAGGAAAAGCGCTGACATGTTAGCTTCTCAGAACTGTACTGAAGGCTTAGAAACTATGAATGTTCAGTTGGTTCCAAATCAAAATTTATTTCCTCTCACTATCAACCTATTTCAACCTACAATTATTTCTAGTTACATAACCATAAACACTTAGCTGTTAAAAACATGAAACGTTTCTTGAATATGAATATACTATTTGTAATTTCTTCACATAGTGTTACAGCAGGCATGTAGCCAGTGATTACAACATACAATCTGGTCAAGGGTTAAACTTGCTGGACTTTTATTCAGGTACCCTAGAACTAATTTCCTTACTCTCTAAAATAATGCATTATATTCCTTACCCTGTTTTCAGTTTTCACATTTTGTTTGTTTTTAGAACAGATTGAACTACCCACCATTTTCCAGCAATGGTTTCCCTACAGGGAATCTGGGTAAGGATTGGTCCCATACATGCTATGCTGGTCATAAGAGGGAACTTAATGGGTCTGTTGATTGGACTTGATCAACTGGTTGATTGAGAGTCATCACATCCCAACAGCATGGATCATTACTTGTAATATCAATCTGACCCAGACCTAAATATATATGCAGGTCACCATGTTATAGCCAGTATCCTGCTTTCCTAACAACAAACAAACAGTGTGTGACAACCTACCGGGCTCCTGATGACCAGGCTGGGTGTATATCAGTGGAGATGGCAATGTGGGGAACATTTCGCAGGATTCCTCCTACAATCAACATGCCTGGAAGGAAAATAGCGCTTCATCATTAAAATGATTTATATTGGATATTTTTCTTAGTAGTTCCTTTAAAATCATAGCATTATCAGCATGATTTTCATTTCACTTTTCCAGCCTAGTTAGCTAATTTCATTCAATATATTAACACTTCAATCTTCTGAAAACACTGCCAAAATGTTCAAGCTAGCTAACTCAAGTCAAAGGACAGCTCAAGTCAAGAAAAATCGAGGGCACACATCATCACCATTTACAACTTACCTAGCAACGGTGGAAGGGGCAGGAAAGGGATGATGTTTTTAACCAGTGACACCAAATATCCACCAAACCAACAGGCAACAAACAACACAAGCAATGCAAACAGGTTGCCACCTGGAAGAGCCTCCGCCCCAGTCAATGAGATCAAGACTGCGAGCCACACCCCAAACATGAACAGCAACAGCAGAAAGCCTCCTACTTTCCCATGGGGCGGACACATAAAAAAATATTTCACTTTTTGACCAAGCGTGGCATTTTCTGGCAATGGATTGTAGTGTGTTTGAATGGGTTTGAAGGTCCTATGGCAGCAAGTCCGTAGAGCAAGGCACTTCTTTGGTTGTTCGGACTTTGGGAGTTCTTCTGTGACTTCAAGCTGCACCTCTCCATCTTGATCCATGGTTGCAGAGCCTTCCGAAAACATGTCAGTTTTTGACAGCTTAGCCGAGCTGTTATTGTGGCTCTGCATAGCTAGGCCGTCTGCTTCCTTGGCCTTGTTCACCTGCCCTTCTGACATGGCTGCTTACACAGTGTTTCTGTCACCTGACAACAAAAGGTATTGTGTTATGATTGTAAACCAGCAGAAATGGTCTGATTTAGGTTGAGGGGGTTCTAATTTTTTAGGATTTACAGATTAAATTATTCAAATATGTGGATCTGTCACAACAGATAGCTGGTATTTATTGCTTTTATGCTATTTTCCTCTATTTTGCCATATCTATATTTTACAGTAACATAAAATAAGATTTCAATTACAGTGAAACCTGTCTAAACAGGGACCGAAATAAACTGCTGGTTTAGACAGGGTGCCGGTGTAACAGGCCAAACTTTCCCCCTGGCCAAACCTTCCCCGGGGAAACTTTGGCCTAGGACAAACAGTAGTATATACAATGATTGTCCGAGATCAAGTCCAACAAAAGCCTCTGCAAAGCCTTATTTCACAAATAAGGCTTTGGTCGGACCCTTGATCCAGCTACCATTACCCCTACTATAAAAAAGTTTGAGGCGCTAGTGGGATACGAACCCCACATGTATACCTCACAGCTGCACCACTTAACCGACTGAGCTACCGGGGACATGGCTGAAGTATGTCGGTTTAACGGGTCTATCCTGGGATTGCATCATCCAAAGCTTGGCTACGTCTATAATAGCTCCACGTGCCGCTATGACACGTTGACATCGATGAAACAGTTTAATGTGAATCGCCTATGATCTCTTTGGTGTTCGTAATGAAGGCTTGCTGGGCTTTTTGTATCCCCTGTTCTATGTACTTTTTTTTCTCGTCCTCGCTGATAGCAGACTTACGAGACTTGGATCGAATCTCGTTTCATTTTGTTATATTTTGTGAGTTCAGAGAGGATTGAACGAAACTCCTCCTCTGAGATCTTACTGTCAGTGAGTGCCGTGGAAATACGCTCACTTACCGTGTTAAGCTTTGCTTCGGACAGAACTCTGATCTCGTCGTGTTTCAACGCCTTACGATGCAGTCTGCGTGATGCAAACTTAAGCACCAACCCTAACACCCCTGTCACCCCAGCTGTTATTTCGAGACCTAGCACTACAGGTGCAGCCACGATGGTAGCTAACAACCCAACACCTGCCGCCCCTAGTCCCATGCTGGTTGCCATAAGGGCAGTATCAGTCCGTCCGCGGCATTGAAAGCTCTATGGTACTTCTTATATAGTGCTTTCCGGCGTGTCGCGGTCTTGTTCTAGTTGGCGTTTTACATCACATAACTGCCTCAAGCGGAACCCGTCTACAGTTTCCAGGGCCTTCGCTACTTCCTCTACGACTGGGTACAGCCCCATCCTATAATATATATTACAAAAGATATTTTAATTGGGTTTCATTTAACCTTCGATTAATGTACTTAAAGCTGATAATGCTTAGATTAGCGTGCGTGTAAAAAAGCAGGGTCTTAAATCTAAGTCCATTAAGGAGACGAACTCCATCAAGGCTTGCTAAAGGTTCGTTTCCCGATACCTTAGTAATACGACAACGTTGGTTATTACACCTGTCTTCCCAACCTATCACCATATCATCTATAATGTAACTATAACCATCAACGGTAAAACTCATATCTCCGAGATAGACGTCTATGATTAATGTGTAGTTTTCCGCGACACTTCTAGTTAATCGGTAACTGAGAAATTTGATCTCTGTCTTTACATTCTCACTGGAAGTTAACATGTTACCTGAGTGGTCTGGTATTGGTGCGCCTCGTACACTAGATTCCGGAACGAACGATCCTAGAATTATGCCGTTGTTCTTAATCTCGGAGATAGTATTATTTTGATTCAAGGAGATATAAGGTGAGGCGAGGGTTAAGTTGACTAACCATTCAGGCTCTTTAAAATCTGATAACGGCATCCGCCTATACACGTTGTCTTTGAAGTGCAGGATGTATAAGGTGTCTTCCTCACCAGGCTGATCGAATCCCTCCATGTCCCCTAGGTCGTTAAGCGTGGCGTTGGGGTGATGACTGGTCATTGCTATAATACTATTACGAGATAATTTCCAACTGGTTTTCTGATAATAGTTCAGGGGTGCACTTCACCCCCATGAAGTGTATGTTGTCGGGTAGGAAGATCTTGAGTTAGTGATATCGTGTCTTCCACGATCACACGTGACACCCTGCAGACTGGTTTTGGAGTCGACACCCACCCGCCGCGTAAGCGTTGCAAACGTGATACTGTTGTTGTTTCCCCACGGAGTTTGACCCCTTCACGATCTCGACATCATCCCGCGATGGTTCCCCTAGGTAGACTTGGATGACCAGTGTTGAGTTCGCCGGTAGACTCTCCAGGATCTTGACCATGCCTTCAATTCAGACACCAACTGCAATACCGTTTTGCATACCCGGTTTACCCAATAGCATATGGGCTGCCATACTGGCGACTGGGCTGATGACTACGCTTCGTCTCTGAGTCGGGGCGTAAGCCACTAGCAGGTTTCCGTTGTTCCGCGACTTTGTTTAGGTGGTTGTCTTTGTTATCCGTGAACACGTAGGGGAGCCGAGCCTAATATTGAGAAACCAGTCGGCTTTATCGGGTAATAACACCCACTTGTCATCTTCGGGTGAAGGCGGTGTATATGGCTTGTTTGAGGCGACGGTAGTGCTCTCAACATCAGTTAAGTCGAACAGTTTGCCCCGAGCGATGGGTATATTATCCATTTATCATCCCCTATGGTGACTAGGGTGTACCGAGTGTTGACTACGCGCTCTTGTGGTATCTACTATATCACTTAGGTTGTTAGTACCACCGATGGAGGGACTTCAACGCGTTTGTAAATACTGTTTTTTAAGCTGCAAAGTACAATTTACCATCTACTCGAGTCGTCGAATCCGCGTGTGTCCCGAGGTCGGATATCCCCGCATTGACACATTTTTTCACCTTCATTCCGGGGCCTTGTGCGCTGGTCATTTTATGTGCAGCGTTATGCTGAGGTATCCTATATTCACGGGATTATGATTTATATCTAACACCGATATTATCAGCTCAGGGATATTGCCCTGTGTCAACCTCTTATACTGCCGCGGTGAAAACGACTCAGTTCTACCGTCGTTGTATTTCTCCGTTTTCACCGGTATGTGGAAGGGTGACCCCCTTGAATGTTGTCCGTTGTGCTCACCTGGTTGAGATGAATGCACAGCTCTCGGTACGGTACTAGGTCGGGTAACTTCGTGCCTGTGGCGGTAGTCGTTGGTTTTATCTCGTCCGGCGGCATACCGAGTGTCCTCGCCAATGGTCGGCTGAGCCTCAAGGGGTTTCTTCCGTTGTTGATTAACATCACTGTGCCATTTGAGTCGTTAATCTTGAGTCCGGCTCCCAGGGGCTTGAAGACCTCGTCACTTAGCGAGCACAAGCTGTAGTAGCCGTGAGTTATCTGGTTATGCGAAGCCACCGACGATCAGCTTATTGTTGTTGGCGTTGATGTTAGTCCATCGCGGTAGGTAGGTGATATCGCACAGTGCTACTTCGAGTTGACCCGACGTGTTATCGATCGCGTGCGTCAGCTGAACGGACTCGCCGCTCATTATTCCTGGAAGTGTTATGTACATGTTAGAGTATATATGCTCATTATATAATAGTTTTAAAATGTACTCCCCTGGAGTGTTTTACCCTAAACTGGGCATAGATTTCCCCCACATGAAGATCGTGGTCGCTGATGGGTTGTATTTCAACGCCCAGTTCATAGATGTGTTCGACCAGTATAGGTTTTCGGTGACTAACGCTAAGGTAGTTCACGCTTGGTTCAACAAACCGATGCAGTTCTGGCAGAATCAACTCAACTTTGCTGTGTGGTGCGCTACAACGGGGTGTGGTGTGACATTGACCGACACTCGGCGTGGACCGCTGAGTCAGTCTGTGTTCACGCTTTCACGTGTACTACCAGGTCAGGCATATCCTCAAAGAGATCAGCTCCCGCTCCCCACAGGAAAAGCGTGGAACCCAGTAAACAACCAGTACGATAGACAGGCCTACGAACGTATTTGCAACGAATTCGAACTAAACCCGAAGACGGATTGGCGTTTGTCGGGCCCGAACCACGGGTTGGGTATCCCCATCGTTCACAACATGCCCCTCGTGGAAGCCAGCGAGAAGTTGAAAGAATGGGGATACAAGTCGTATCATCACCTCACAACCAACGAGTGGGATGACCGTTACATGGCTTTCGACAACAGCAAGGATTACCAAGTCTGGAGGTTCGAGCAGGGGGCAGCGGATGACTGGAAAATGTTCATGCTGGACACGTCGAAAGGGTTCACTCGTGCCAGGGTAATCGGGTTAAACGACTTCGATTGAGCGTGCGTGTGAAGGCTGTTGGGTGCGCAGATGCAAACGCAGCGTTCCAACATCCTCGGCAAGGGACTGCTTACGGCGGCTCAGAAACAGTTCGTTGTCAACGTTGAGGATGCTATCAATTCTCCAGTTGATCTCCCGAGTGCCATCAAACGCTACCAAGACGTGTTGGAATATGCCAGGTCGAAAGTCGACTACGTCTTCGACGTGGGGTTGTACATGGCTCCGAGCGATATGCAACTGAGGGTAAAAAAAGTGGTGGGCTACAACAACGAAATAGTCATAGCCACGGCGGACCAAAAGTTGGCCGTCAACCTCGATGTAAACACCCCCACGTCCCACCACCCACGACCGGTGAAACGGGTATAGTGGCGCCACCCCCGGAGCCTAGGGTTCAACACACACCCCCACAGCCCCAGCCTGCACACGTTCAGGCGTCCAATCAGCAGCACATCGATCGTAAAACGGCCCTGGTGGTTGGCGGGGTCGCGGTCGGGGTGGGGCTTATTTGGTTAAAAATTCCTTAGCCGCTACGTACACCAAACCCACCACGGCGACGATGGCTGCCCACAGGTTTTGACTGAGCCATGTGGCAGTTTTAGCCAGAGCGCTCAGCAGCCACGAGACGATGCTACCCAGGATGCCGGGCAGGGCTTCGGCAGCCTTACTAGCCAGTTTAGCCAGGGCTTCCCCGAGGGATTTCAGGTGTTTTTTTACCCAGTCTTTGACGCCACCTGT